TGATCACACTGGGTCGGAACTGGACAGTGGGTGCTAGGGAGGTGGAAGTTCAACAGTTGATTCACAATTCTCGCAGAGATGATCTCATTATCTATACAGATAGTTCGGTACTGAGAGGAAAGAGAAGTGCCCGGGGGTTCGTAGCGAAAGCCAATGGAAAATCTTTAGTGTAGGACAGCCTAGCATACAATACCACAATATCTAGAACGGGAATGGAGGCGGAGGCTGTAACTGCAGCTTTCTGGTGGCTAGAGAACAAAATGATAAAAGTGATGTGGTGACTTTCACCTTCTCGTAACACCGTCTTATAGAAGCAATGCATAAAAATACATACTGTGGTAACTAAATGTTTACCAACACCTAGCTGCAGGAGCACTTTACTGATAAACATTCCACGGTGACTTACATATTATACTATTACCTTTTAACAGTAGTCACTTCGTTAGTTCCGTGTCCTCCATACTGACGTTGAAAAACCAAATGCAGCCGTTTTTTTCTACTGTTGCGGTCTTTCTTGGCAAATTTACTTTCAGCGGTTGGCCACTGCTTACTCAACTAACGGTGGGCTCTCGATATCACTGTCGGAACCAACGCAAGGCCTGCAGTTGGGACCGAAATCGGCACCCCGGCATTACAAAGCGCGTTAGCAACGCCTAAGTCACAGACTCTTACAGAAGCAATGTACTGACTATACTGACTTTCACCTGATACTAACAACCTGTTACAGAAGCAATGTAAATATACTGATTAACTGACTTTCACCTGATACTTACAACCTGTCACAGAAGCAATGTATATATACTGACTATACTGACTTTCACCTGATACAGAAGCAATGTATATATACTGACTATACTGACTTTCACCTGATACTTACAACCTGTTACAGAAGCAATGTATATATACTGACTATACTGACTTTCACCTGATACAGAAGCAATGTATATATATTGACTATACTGGCTTTTACCTGATACTAACAACCTGTTACAGAAGCAATGCATTTTACTTCTTCTTCATGTTCACCGGCTGAAAACTCTGGCGGAAAGTTCTGGTTGTTTGTCTACCTCTGGACTATAGTCTTGTTCCAGAACCTGAGTGTTGCGTGCACATCCACAGATCTAACTTAACTATATACAGACTGTTGGCTCCTTGCCTCTCAGGCAGATGCACTCAGATATCGAAGAGGGCCCCTAATTAGCCGACTTTTACGACATGGCAAATAAACATACTTTGGTGATTTTTTATTAACTGTAAAGGACGCTTTACACGCCTTTAGATGTAGTGGGCATATAGGGCTAGATTTATATTTTACAGACCAATCGACACTCAGCAGGTGATTTGGTCAACATCACACGACTCACCTTCACATCCCAGGACCTTACCTGGTACCCATTTAAGACTAGGTCGACCTGAAAGCCAAGTTTATTTTTGAAAAAAAAAAAAAAAAAAAAAAAAAAAGAAAGTCACTTTTCAGAGTAGCAATGCATATTTTATTTCTAACATCCTCCTAGAGGGGCTATGCATTACTTACTATGATTTTTTTATGTCACTCTTAGATACAATTAACGACCAAATGCGAAGCTATGTTATGGTCATCTAAGTCATCAATATATTCGTGTATACCCATATTTTGATCTGATAGGACATAGTAAAAACTTCCTATTACTGGAAGGTTCCAATGTATGCCTATCTATACATTATAATCAGAAGGTGAGGAAAAGACGCTGGCACTGGACAGGACACAGATTATAGGCTATGTCTGAGTTTTTCACCACTGTGTGTATTCACCACTAAATATTTCACACCTGTGCTTATTCAACCCTGTGCATTGAGAAGCTGCGTGTGATAGCAAAAATGAGTAAATACATTTTACCCCACCAGGACATCACACAGAGTGATAAACACCCGGTGACACAAAGTGCCACCATACGGATGAAGATCGCCCGTGGAGAGGTCACAGAAACCGCGTTCAGCCGTCGGGCTATATCTTGTGGCCCCTGGCAAATAGGGGGCTTTAAAATAAGGAAAAATTGTGTCCCACACTGGGACGATGTGGATTACTGTGGTAGCAAAAGACGGGAGGACAACTGACTTTGCGTGAGTTGGTTAGGGCTTCTGCCTCATTGGTGGATAAAGGACGAAAGAAAAAGTGGGGCCAACTTCACATTTGCCATCGTAATTTGCGCTAAGAAAGCATAATGAGGGATTGCGACGTTTAACAAATTGCACGAACACACTAGCAGTTTTGAAGAATTCCAACACGTGCTTAACAAAATCCTACAAACAATGAGTAGAGGCACATTGGAGTAGCTGCTGCATCGGAAGACCGAGTACACGTGGGAATGCCCAATGTGCAAAGAGATCGACTGTGATAACATTTAATACAGATAAACAGCTCTCCAGATTTATTCTGAACCGTGATTATCTGCAAATTATCTGCAACAGCAGTGAGTTACAAAGCCTACTTTTTACTGATGTAGACACATTTCTCTCATAAAACAAGCAAATACTTTCAATAGTTGCTGTCTAGATGATAGCAAGATACTCTGCTTCTTTAAAAAAAAAAAGGTAAAAGTTAGAGCATTATACACATTTTTCATTATTACTATATAAAACATGTTCTTCTTGTGTGCGTTCTTCATTAGGCACATTGTGGGCAAAACAACTATACACCCACTGCCTACCCAGAAGCATGTCTAATTAACTGGTAGCTCAAATGCTCAGTGCATCTGTCTGAGAGCGGATCTGTTAAACAGATGTGCATGCGAAATTTAGGACCAGAAGTGGACGAACAACCAGAACTTTCTGTCGGAGTTACAGCCGGTGAACGCGAAGATGAAGAAGAATATACGTATAGCATGTTCTTTGTTGAACGTCTATCTGATCCCGAGCCGCTGGGAAACCACTGAGTCCACTGCAAACTTGTCCACCTGCTGAACATTTGTGCCCATGATGCCCTTGATATCCTGTGGCCACCATCGTACTGGTCTGCCTCTTCTCTTCCTCTTAGCGTTCACGGGTTGTAAACATGTAGAAATGCCTGGTTGTTCGTCCCTGTCAGGACTGATCTTGTTCCAGGAATTGAGTTCTTCATTTATATCCCTTTAACAAATCAGGCTTAATTGTTTGCGAAATGCTGGTTCCTGGCCTCCCATGCAAATGCACCACGACCTTAAAGGAAACATCCCTAAGTTGTCACGTCGTACTACATGCGTATACTACAAGCGACATCCTGGGGTACTAGATCCCACATAGGGAGTGCTGGTCTTTTCTTCTTCTTCTTTGCGTTCACCTGTTGTAAACTCCGGCGGAAAGTTCTGGTTGTTCATCCACTTCTGGACTGCAGTCCTCCTGTTCCAGAACCTGAGTGTTGTGTGTGCATCCGTTTGATAGATCTGACTAATTTGTATGCAGACTATTGGTTCCTTGCCTCTCAGGCAGATGCACTCCGACTTCGAAGGAAGCTCCCATTTTGTTGACTCTTGCTTTTGGCTAGGCAGTCGGTCTATTCTCCCCCCCCCACCCCTATAATAGGGCCCCGGAACCCACACGGGGATCAGGAGTGCTGGTCGAACGCTGCCTGTTCTTCCAAGAACCATCTCCACCATTACTGACCTTTCCAAATCATTCCGACGTTCAACGTGACCAAGCCGTTGGCCTCGCGTTCTTTTTATGAACAGGGTGGGTCCATTAACGAGTGCGCGTTTTTTTAAGATCCCCGAGGATCGTCGGGGCAGCTGTGGAGTTCGCGTTTTGTGTGACGTTCTCGGCACGCGGTCATGCGTTATGCAGAAAACAACACACCGAGCCATAAAGGACAAAGCCAGACGCAATTAGTCGATCCCTCTGTTGTTTTGACATCGATGAACAGTTTCCTAACCCCAGAATTGCAACCAATCACATTAGAGAACTGTAAGCAATGGTATATTCTCTGGTCATGTCACAAGAAGGAGAAAACTGGGGTACATTGTAAGGGTGGCAAAGCTAGAGGGGGGAAAGAGACAGAGGGAGGAGACCAAGAGAGAAGATTGCTGGACAGTCTGACATCATGGCAAGAAAGATCAGTATCAGAATGGACTGAAAGTACAAGAGAAAGAAGGTTGTGGATAGACGCAACTACCAAAGCCACACGGCATGGCCTATAAGAATCAGTGGCGATGTTATCACACTTGCCTACCAGAAGCAAGAAGTTCTCGAACTTCAATCGTAGTTAAGCTTAGATTCTGCCAAAGTAGTCACTAGGGTCCTTCTATCAAACTTACGTTAGAGTGATTTGAGACAAAACAAGGAGGCCACAGTAATAACGGACCACACTGATCGGTCAATCAGTTAAATGGAATCAACAACTTTTCCCGAATATTATCAAAATACGTTATGGAATGTAAGCGAGGTTACACTGCGTTACTCTTTTATGGCTTGAGGCCAGTAAAGAATTATACTGTTTTATTTATTTTCCCTAGTCCTAGTTAGAACGTGTAGATGCCCGTTTTATTACTAACTGTTCAATACAGCTTTAAAAACCGTGAACCAAAGTACCGTAAAATGAAAAGAAACTGAAGCCCTGAAAGAGAAATTCTACCGTAAACTGTGAGTCATTTCCGAGTTAGAAATCTGCAGTTTTACACAAAGAAGGTGCATGCGTGTAATACAATGATTTGTCTGGAGCATACAAATCTCTGAATCACAGAAATTCAAATTTCGTTTTATCTGCCTTCGTCCTTAAAAGGGCGGTTAGCACAGTGTGTTTTGGTTTACAACTAGGGTGTGATATACGTGCTATAAAAACCAATTTTTTAAACCCCTTATTAGTCGCCTTTTATAAAATGCTTGTTACAGTAAGATTACCCCCTCCCCCCCCCTTTTTTTCGAAGAAGGGACCCCAAACCAAAGTGAATTTTAAAAATAATAATAAAGTTTCGGTTCTAAATTGACTAAATCATGCATATGTGTAGGCATTCAGTAAGGAAATAATAAATGACACACGGCTATAGACTCACCTGTCATGAGAATGACACCCAGAAGCAGTACAAGATATCCAGTACAGGAGATGACGGCGAGGGACGGTGGCCTATGGTAGCCACTGGGACCCATACCCTTCCATGCAGCCGTAGGGCTCTGCAGGCCGCGGGCCTCCTCAGGGCTAGCCGCCTCTCTGTGAATAACAAAACACAGGGCACCATAAGCCATCAGCCATATTGAACGCAGCAATCATTCTCTTCAAGCGATATATCACATATTCCATTGAACACTGTAAGCACTACTACATCCAAGAAACACAACAAAGAGGTCGCTACATCTGCACGTTCTAGTGTGTAGCTATTCCATATCCACCCCTGGCTGTAGTAAAGTGTGCTAGCCTCGGAAACCTTTCACAGTCTGCACCGACAATCACGTCTAGAAGGAATGGAAGGCATCAGAGAAGAGGAAAAGAGAGGAGGAGAGAAGGGGGTGAACAAACGTAGCGGGCCGCGGTACAATGCATCAGAGAGAAATAGGTCACTAGGCGGAGCTTCAGCTCCCGTCACACGTCACAGAGGTGTTAAACACGCCCCCTGGCATACAATCACGAGCGCTGGTCACACAAATCTCTACTAGTGCATTTTGCTAACCGCGAAGAAAAAAGGCGCAAACTCGGAGACGATTGGATAATAAGTAATTCTTTCACACCTCGTCCTCTTTCCCTTGGCCTGGGGAAGAGGGGGGAAAGTACGTGGACGGGTAAAGAAGCAGAGTTTAAAAAATACATACGTAGAAGGAAGGGAAGGTACTCTTTTAAGTGAGAGAGCTGGGTACGACGGGGGAAAGAACACTGAAGCATCGCGGGTGTGAAGAGGAAACACGAAACGTAGGGCACTGGAAGGGGGGAACTGGGAAAAGTTCTTTATCTACACCTTGGGTGAGATATTTTAACACGCCGTCTAGCTAGCGTGCTTAATTATCTGCCCAGATTTTGATACGGGCAGGCCGCGGCAGTGTAAACAGCATACAGCTACACACGGCTACAATCTTTATATGTGGACTATCTCGGCGACAGATTCATTCTTCTACTGCATGTGTAACAATCGAAAGGTGTTGATAAGTGTGAGTGTGTGTGTATACTGAGTATATTGGTGTTTGTGCTTTTGTGTGTTTGTGCGCTGTGCGTATGTGTGTGGTGTGTATGTCTAAGTGTGTGGGGAGACTGGACTGAGTCAGATTGTAATGTAGTAGTGGTTTTATTCCAGAATTTTTTTTTTTGTTTGCCAAACAACACAAGATGGGATGTAATAAGTAGTGCTACGACTTCCCTGCAGTTGATTACTGATTTAAGAACCGACAGTCATAGCATAGCGGGCATAACCATAGGTGGTCAGTCTCCCGCAGGGATTATCTTTGAAGGTGGAGATTCTGATTTTTCCAGTAGCGCACTTGCGGAGCAGGAGCCACACTGGTATAGCGTCTAAACGCTTACCTGCGGATCCGAGAGTTGTGGGTTCAAATTCGAACTTTTTCAAAAATGACATTGGCTTTCAGGACGACCCAGCCTTTAATGAGTACCAGTAAAGTCCTGGGAAGTAAAGGCGGCCGACGTGTTGTTGACCACATCATCCACTTTTTGCCGACTGTTTTATAAAATACAGAGATAGCACTATATTTCCAATATGCATGAAGACGTGGAGAAAGGTGCTTTACGTATGCTGTTTTTTATCACTTGTTCCTTTGTGCCGGACCAACTTTTGGCTCTAAATGTATTCAAACTTGTATATGTTTAACTCTGTCAACACTCGTTCGCATACAGCCACTCTCTTTCTTTCTCTGTATTGTTGTAACCAACCAGGAAATCACACAAGCGATAAACACCCGGTGACACAAAGTGCTACCACGAGGATCACCAGTGGAGAGGTCAAAGAAAACCCATATTTATGGCCCGGCTATATTCAGGGCCCCCGGCAAAAGCCAGGGTGGGGCTTCAAATAATGAATAATTGAATCCCACATAGAAAGAACAATTGCTTCGTATACAGTCATGTTTTGAATGACTGACTTTCTACCCCACCAGGACATCACACAAGCGATAAACATCCGATGACACAATGTGCCACCACTCGGGTGAGGATCACCGTGGAGAGGTCACAGAAACCACGTTCAGCCTTTAGGCCACATTTATGGCCATACTATATTACGGCCCCTGGCAAGAGCCAGAGTGGGGCTTCAAATAACAACAAATTCATCCTGTAAAGGACGAGTAGTCTTAATGAGTCATGATTGACTGACTGACTTTCTACCCCACCAGGACATCACACAAGTGATAAACACCCGATGACACAAAGTGCCACCATGTGGATGAGGATCGCCGTAGAGAGGTCCCAGAAACCGCGTTCAGACATTTGGCCATATATATGGCCTGCCTATATTGCGGCCCCTGGCAAAAGCCAGAGTAGGGCTTAAAATGACAAAAAATTTCGTCCTAAAAAGGACGAAATTTGATAATAATAGAGTCATTGATTTCATTATCATTATCCATTATGCGTGTTCTACTGGGACAACCGGTCTCTAAACAAGTGGTACATACAGACAGTAGTGACAGTTAATAAACATCTTAACTGACGTAACAGCGTTTCTGAATCCAAGAAATATACTTAGAGAGAAAACAAGGAATGTGTGAAACGAAACGATGTAACGAATCCTTGCAGACAGACACAAGAATCCAGACTAAGAATATTGCTATACAAGCTACCCTTAGCAAAGACAAGGGACGTAAATCAAGGATATTACAATAAATTTTCTGGAACACAGGGGACGTAAATCTAGATCTGCTCAATGAAACTAATCTTCGAAGACAGGACAACCTCAGTGAAATTAGATTGAGACTTTAGACGTGTAACAAATACTTTAAAACCAGTTGCTGGCTGGGCGGTGTCTGGTTGACTGGGTTGGCTGATTGTTTGAGTCACTGGTTGAAGAACTTTGTGACAGAGAGCGATTTCCGCATTGGGCTATCTAAGTCTTAGTAGACGCTGTTCCGAAAATCATATTTTATACATAATAAACAGACAATGTATTAATCGGCACTCATAGAAAGAAATTGAAAGATAGAAGAGGTTGAAGAGAGTTTTTAATGGTCCTCAGGGACTGACGGTTGCCTACCGTGTTTAAAGAGAGTATGAACTCCGATGCCTTGGTTTGCAGATGGGTCGACAGAGACGTTTTAAGGTAGGCCCTACAGTATGTTCTTACACAAACAGGACTACAGGTTACATCAGGCTGGTGTAGCCTTTACGGGTAATTAGTGATTAGAAAGTATTATCGTCACAGCACTCCGGACTCTCCTACTCAAAAGCTCTATAAGTGTAAAACGACTGATGACGCCTGTTCTGTGTTGGTTAATGAAACGTCATGTCCCCTTAGTGAAATGTTCATTGCTTGCAACTCCAGGCTGCACCCTATGTTCATCAGTCTAGACCTGGATACGGAGTCATGTCCTTTAGCGTGCTTCTTGGTACAATAAGTGCATTGATAACATCACTTCTGTCCAGTACTGGACCAGCCATAGGAACTGCAGTGTCAGCATGTTAGTCTGCACGCTCATTCCTTAAACACCCACATAACTGGCACAAAGATGAAGGTTATGGGTGCCTTAATTATAACTTCACTGGAGGTTGAACAGGGTACTTGCTGGTCTGCCGTTCAGATCTGATTTTGTCGTTGTTTTAAATCCCGGAGAAAATGGGGTAAAGATTCAGGGGCAGTTACCAAGTAATAATCTCTTCTTCCTAAAATCCATGCCGTGTGGCGTTAGTAGTAATGTTTATTCACAACATTCTGTCTTATGTAATTTCAATCAACTCTCACACAGATGATCCTCCATGCATGATGTCAAACTGTCCCTCTGCCTATCCTTTTCTCCAACTTTCCTACTGTCACGATGTACTCCAGTTTTTCCATTCTCATCTTAAAACCAAAGAATGTAGATTTTCTGTTTCTGATGTGGGCAATCCGTTTTGTTCGTGGTTTTTTTTTTTTCAAGACATTTTCATAACGCTTTTAAAAAAAAAAATCTGTCCAGGGTATTCTCACAATTTGCCCATAAAACCACATATCAGCGGCTTCAAAATAAGGTGAAACTGAAATGAACAAAGAGTGGTCTCCTATTCTTTCATCGGCATTGTCCATTTCTATTATGAATTCCTCCATCTCCTCTCCCCTGATTCATTTCAAAGACTGCCAAGAGCCTCCTCAACACGTGAGGTGATAAATTAAGATTTCGCTACCCCTATCCTTTCTGTTTCAGAACAATGTATCTAAACCCTCTTGCTCCAGTCTTTTTTAACAATAGCACGTCTTCCTTCCTCGCCAAAGGAAGACATTCCTCAATCTTGTGGCAGGCTAACTAACTAACCGAGCCGGTGTTATCTTTCCATTGCCTGGCCGACAAAGGAGGGTTCGGGTCGCGGTCCTGGCTGAAGTATCTGCTGGAGAAGGAGCTTCCATAAAAACACTTCACGTCCAGGGGCAGACAACCGGAGTAAATACGGTGAAATCTTAACTGCGGTCACCACTACAGCCAAGAGGGCTTGACACGTTGATAATGGCGGCACCCAGTTTCTAGTGTCTGCCTGTTCCCCCCACCTCCAACCCTGCCACATTCAGGTGGTGGTATTGAGGGGGTGGGAAGAAGTAGGAGATTGGAATCGAGAAAGGGGAGGAATGGAGACAGAGGTAGACTTAGAGAAGGATACATATTTAGAGAGAGGTTCTTTTCTGTTTATCGACCACATCACGTGAGATTTGGGGACATCACATATTAAGGAAGGAGGAGGGGGGGGGGGTGTTAGGGTTAGTGTTGAATGAATGGCGACTTTTACTAACCCTATCACCCCCCACCCCTTTACAATATAAGATGTCACTAAAAATCTCGTGATGTGGTCGCTAAACAGAAAATAACCGAGGGAGACATGCATATCCACACATAAACAGCGACTGGTAGAGAAAGATGAACACAGAGATAGAGAAACAGTGACAGAAGAATGGAGAGAGAGAGAGAGAGAGAGAGAGAGAGAGAGAGAGAGAGAGAGAGAGAGAGAGAGACAGAGGCTGGGAAGAGAGAAGCTCGGAAAAAGACGGGTCTCTCTAGGCTTGGGCGTCTCACACGCACACACACACACACATATATATATATATATATATATATATATATATATATATATA